GAAAGAGACTGTAAATGAGTGCATTCAGGACAAGGCAATGAGTTATATTTCTTGTTCTGCTGTTTTTTTCTCCTAAGATCTAGTGTCCTTCCCTACATTAAGTTTACAGTTGACAAAGCCACTACTTCCAGCCTTCTAATTGTTTGCCTATTGCCCTGTCTCCTGTTTTTGAACAGCGTTTTGACTAAATCAAACCTGAAACTGTTACAGATGTAGGAGAGAGGACTCACTCCTCTCCCAGTGCAGAGTCAAAGGGAATGAATATATTTCCCTTTGTCCTTCCACTATTATTAACTCTCAGAAGATCATAATTGCTTCCCCACATTCCCACATTAGCAAACTTTACCTAAGGGTTTCACCAGATGATCCCCTTCTTTTCCACAGGTTCACCAGGCTGCTTGAGCGGCTTGCAGCTGAAGATGATTTTCCATCCCCTACGTGCATGCGGACCACGGTCGATGTGGTGAATGCGCTGCGTACATTTCTTTCAGGCTTAGCAAGGATGATATAGACCTTGGGCACAAACATACAGCCTAGGGCCACCGTGGCACTCAAACTCACTGAGAAACACATGGTGATTATCTTGTAGTTGCTTCCAAAATATATTGGCACAAAAGCCAGCCAAATGATGCAGGTTGTATACATTGTAAAGGCAATATACTTTGCTTCATTGAAATTAGCTGGGACATTTCTTGTCTTAAATGCATAAAAGGTGCAACTCAAAATTAATAATCCATTATATCCAAGGGGAGTTACAACACCCAAGTTGGTGGTGTTACAAATCAGGTAGACCTCTCGGATGCTTGGGTAATCATGCATTATATCAGGTGGCTCCATTATAAAGAGGGCAACAATTATGCCTAATTGTATACATATCAGGATAAATGCAATAACCAGTTGGGCACAGGCACTCATGAACCTAGGTTTCTTTGTACAAATTTTCTTCTTGCTTCCAGCCAGGATTCTTGCGATGCGGTTGGTTTTAGTTACTAGAGCAGAATAACTCATGGCTGGGGAGAGGCCGATGCCAATTCGTTGAAGGTAACAGTAAATCTGTTGAGGTTTTGCGATGAGACAGAAAGTACACAAGTAACCCAAGCAGATGCCAGCTAGAATGATGTAGCAAAGTTCTCGGCTGGATGATTTGACCACTGGAGTATCACGGTACATTATGAATATAGCTGTAACAAACAAGGTGGCCAGCAGACCCAGACATGCAAAAACAACAGCTGCAATTGGTTCAGGATCACCCCATCTGAGATACTGGACTGGGATGAGGTCACAACCTACAGAAAAAGAAAAGAAGGTAAACTGAAGTATGTAGGAGTGAGATTCTTTAATGATATAGTTACAGGTTTTCCTGATATTTCTCTTCTTTTTGTCTTTCAGGAAGGTGTCATTATAATGATTGTGGGCTAAGATTACGTTAGTATAATAGCACAATAAATATCTTTCAGTGACAGTTTATTTCAGTAATACACTTTATCTGGAATATAACATGATGACTGAAAAAATGGCCAAGTTGTTTAAGATAAGTCACCTCTCACAGTGGAATTTTCCTTTTAAATTCTTTTAAACATAGTAATTTATGAACAAATTTCAGAATCAAGTTGCGTTACCTCAGTACAAAATGCTTCAGAGTTCTTTCTGTACTATATGCACTTAAAGGACCAGATGTCAATCCTGCTAACTATATTCTACACTATGAAAGATGTTGGTACTTGTTTAATGATTATGGAGAGGTATCTTACAGATTCTAGCTGTCAAGAATAAGAGAGTACTTCTTTCTCAGGAATGCTGCCTTTTTTCTAACAAAAATTTTCTGGGATCAGAGTTGCAGATAACAGATAATTTGGGATGGCACTCCCTGCTCAGTTCTTTAGCTGTCATTTATCTTCTTGAGATTTCTGAGGAATTAAAACCTCCTCTAACTCATGAAATCAAACTGAATTCAATAAATTAGTGTCAAAGCTGAATTAGCAGTGTAACCCGTCTAAGGACAATTTGGTTTTAGTCTATGTATAGGTTTTAATAAGTCATTCTATGTATGCAGGTCATAGGAAGTCAAAGAAGCTTTTCATTCCACAGTGTGCAGATCAACGGACAGGAGTAAAACCTGGCAGAAAACTTGTTGCTGGCATCCCTCCTCCATCTCTCCTTTCTTTTTGCACTATAAAGCCTGGATAGGTGTGGTGGGTTGACTTTGGCTGGACATCAAGCTGCTCTATCACTCCCCTACTCAGCAGGACCAGAGGAGGAGAAAATAAAATGGAAAAACTCATGGGTCGAAGTAGAGGCAGTTTAATAAAGCAAAAGCAAAGGCTACTTGTGGAAGCAAAGGAAAACAAAAGATTTATTCTCTGCTTCCCATCAGCAGGCAATGTCCAGCCAGTTCCTGGGAAGTAGGGCTTCAGTACGTGTAGCGGTTGCTCCGGAAGACGAATGTCATAATAACGAATGCCCCTCCTCCTCCTCCTTTCTCTTAGCTTTTATTGCTGAGCAGGTGTTATATGGTATGGATTATACCTTTGGTCAGTTTGGGTCAGCTATCCTGGCTATGTCCACTCCCAAGATCTTGCCTACCCCCAGCCTACTGGTGAGTGGGGAATGTTGGAGAGACAGCCTTGATGCTGTGGAAGAACTTCTCAACAGCAGCCAAAACACTGGTGTGTTATGAACACCTTTCTCACTATGAATACACAGCACAGCACTATGAGGGCTGCTATGGGAAAAATTAACTCCATCTCAGGCAGACCCAATACAATAGGAATAAGGGGAAAGGACCTTGATGCTCTGGAGTGCAACTTCCTGACAACAGTAGACACACTGGCACTGCCGGCCAGGGCAGGACAGCTGAAAGGAGACAATGCAGTTGAGGAAATACAACTAAAACCTTTTATTTCCCCTATACTTGTATTAAGTTTGATGAACCTTGATTGCAAAATTTAAATGTCCTCAAAATTTAGGATTGTTGTAATCAGGTTATTCTCTTCTTGTTAAGTCAGATGGAAGGGTGTCAGCCTGACTCAGGGTGGGTTGTGGCAAGGCACTTCGCCTGATGGGGATTGAGCGTTGAGTGCTCACATCTCTATTTTCAGCAGTGAGGGTAATTAGCACTGTCTGATGGGCATCTGGATGCCAAGCAAGTCCGATTAATTAGGGAACCTGGGACCTCAGTCTCTTGATGAACAGGAGTAAATGTAGACATCAGGACTATAATTTGTGAATTTCTACATGCAAGATCTATTCTTTGCTTTTTTCCTTTATTTTAAGTGGACCTTAAGGTTTTTCCAAATCTGCCATTGACATTCTTAGTAACAAAAATCATTTCATGAAATGTTATGGGTAGCTATTTGGCTTAGCTGCTCTCTTCTCCCAGTATTTCTGTATTCTGTATCTCTACACAATTAATATTATCAAAAATATAATACCTACAATAAGCTGGTATACTCAATAGATTGTGTGGCAAAAGTGCAAAGCAGATATTTCTGTATTCTTGCAGAAAGCAGAAAAATCAGGATTAGGGTCAACAAGACTTTGACATTAGTGCAGTTAAAGGGTACAAATTTGCCATCACTCCAGTGTAACAGAATCATGCTCTTGGTTACTAAATGCAGATTAATTTGCTATTCATATTTTAACTGCTTTGGTGTGCAAAGCTATCTGTCGCAATAATAAAATTATTGTCACATCTTAATGTAAGAAAGGCATTTACGTTTTTTTGAAACGCTCTCATGGCATTAGTTGATGACACCTATTTGACTCTTGTTGTTTTTAAAGGGCTTACTTATTCATTGTGAAGGAAACATGTATTTCATTCTGACTTCATCAAGATTAATGTAGCACAGGAATCACATCATTAAAATCAACATTTTATACCAGTGAGAGTGGTGGAAGAAGGGTGAAAAACAGAGACAATACTGGTGTGCAGATATCCCCATGTGCACTGGTGTGTGCAGATATCCCCATGTGGGTTCTTCCCCAAGAAGTTTTATAAGTGACCTCTTGTTACTAGCTTCTAATACTACTATATATACTTTGGGCAGGAAATTTGAAGAGAAAAGGTCTTTATCTATAGACAGCTGGCCTTTAAATGCAGACAATGACTTAGGGGCTGAATTTTGCTCAGTTTCTAATGTTGCAACAGAGGTGAATCATAACCAAGCATTTCTCATTAGTTTCAGACTATTTCATGCCTTCCTTGCTTTATTACTCTTTTTACATTCTCTTAATAAAACACCTGAGAAAAGAGTTAAAAACTTGTCCCATTGTTCCTCCATCACTGGGTATACTTTACAAGGAGAAAGCTAAACCGTGCAATGATTTATTCCTCAATTAAGATTTAAGGACTGGATAGTCTTCATAAAGCAATGATTGGTGAGGTTTTCGTATAATAGTTTTGCAGCTAATGGTTTCTGACAATGGCACTGTGCAGAAAGGGACAACTAGATCAAGTAAAAGAAATATTGAGAGAAGCCCTGAGGACAAGGACTCCGGGGTGTTGGTTGACAAGAA